ATTGTTCAACAAATAAAAATAACAATTATTAAATATTGGCAAGAAAAAATTCAACCACTTTTAAATCCATTGCCTGAGAAATATTCGAATTATGTAATCGATATAGGATTAATTGAAAACAAATTAACGAATGAATATGATTGTATCGTTATTGAAATGAATCCATTTGAGACAAGTACTGGTGCAAGTTTATTTAATTGGACAACAGATAGTGATCAGTTAAGAGGACAAGAAAATGAAATAGAAATACGTGTACAATCAGATTATTATCCATATATTAAAGACTATATTGAATTTATTCTTGAAGTTAATCAATGTGATGGAAAAGAGAATTCATCATCTGTTGATCATGGCAAAGAACCATATTTTATCTTTTTAGATCAAATGAAAACACAATTTTCTTTATAATGAATATATATATATATATTATTAACAATTGTACTATAGTCCCTTCAATTAAAAGTTGAAATTAGTTTTTGATTTTTTTTTGAAAAAATTTGGTGTATGTTGTTATCCATCGTCTATTTGACAAGTAACGTTCATTGGATGCCGATTCACTTGATCATAGACTGAAGGAATTTAAAGTATAAACAGAAAATAATTTAGCTATCACACGATATTCAATTCTCGGTTTTTCAGCCATCATAACTTACATAGATGGGTGTTGGTGTGAATGAAGAGAAGATACCTGCGACCACACCTACACCCACACCATAGTTTCTCCGAATAATATCTACTAACCGATCACTGACGTCGCTCCATGTCACGTAGTCTCATCTTTCATTACTGGAATTATGTTAGATACCTCTCAAAACTTGATTGAAATCTGGATATTTGTACCGAGTTTTCTATCTTGTATTCCATTCTACGAGTTGCTTAATTTTCTAAAAATTTGTACAGAAAAGAAGCGAAATGCTGAGTGTCCCAAAATATTCACATATATTTTTATTTTGCATATATCTCAGCACAGATAAATGATAAAAATTTGTATTTTTCTTCCCAAAGATACGCTATAAAAAGATTTACAAAAAATGCCGGAACAAATATCTGCCAACATATGTTCTCATGATTAGGGTGTGAGTGTCGGTGGGCGTGGGTGTGGATCTTTTATTCTTCATGCACAGCCGTATCCATACCCACACCCACACCCTCATCAAGTTATAAATAATAACCAAACTTCTTCTAAAAGCGTCGACAATTGGATTCCATAAGGATCTCCCGGACTCTTCAGATTCCAATCTATACACATTTTGAGAATATCTCGCCTAGTCTAGCTGTTCCACATAATGCATTAGCTTCACTATCTACATTATCTCCTATATCTCCCCTAGTGGAAACTCTAGTCAGGGTTTGAAAGTTCAATTAAACTCCGGCGAAATTTAAATAATGAATTTAATTGAAAAATTTTGGAGAATATCAACAAGCAAAAGACTTTCGATACAATCGAATAATTAAATTAGGAACGAAACTCAAAATAGGATTATTATGGACTAAAGTAAATAGTGAACTAGTGATGAAAGATTTCTATTCAACATTGAAATCTGAAGAAAAATTGTTAATTTTCTAGCAATTTAGAGGTCGCAATCATTGTGATCCATGGTCATCAGAAATCTATATGTTGAACTGAATCGTTTATCATCTGAATTTATTGAGCATGGTCATAAGTTTGATTCTTCTTGGACAACTCGTCAAATATACGAAGCAGACATTCTCTTGAATCTATGTCATATTGTCATAGTGAAAAATTAACAATAGCCTTTAATTTCAATCTACGACCTATTCCATCACTTATCAAGATCATTTTTGGTAATTTGTTATGAATGTATTCAATCAAAAACTGTTCCTCTATCAAACTTTTGGTTTCTTTTTTTCAAATAGATTTCTTTTATCAAGACAAAATCATAAAGATTCAAATCAGCTAAACCGTTCTACTGTAGATTTCTATGTATTTCGAAAATCCAAGAATTTATGTAATATCAGGCATATCAAATTCGATGCTGAATAGGAAGTCTTTCGTATCAAAAGATAGAGTACTTTTTGCTCTATGTTTCTACGATATTTTGAATTTTTTTCATACTATTATTCATGAAGAAATATTTGAACTTCAAAACTAGTCAAAATACTATCTTATTCGATTGTTTTCGCAGATTTTTCATTGAAAAAATTCTTTTCTGAAATTTTAAATTTTTACATCAATAGATGCAGAATTTTATGAAGAATTCTCTAAAATAAGCAGTAGTGATTATACATAGAAATTTAGTAAGATCTAAACAAGTATGAGTGTTGGAAATTAATTATCAATATAAAGTATGATGATCAATGTTGATCGTGATAATAGTCAATAAGTTGGTTTTTATTCACAATGAATACTAATGTCAAGGAAACAGTGAAATATATAGACAAAAAAAAACATTTATTTCAATATTTAAAAGTAAAAAGTAAAGATAAGTGTTGTTGGTCTGATATGAAAGATAGATAAAAAAAAATAGAAGGACTAGTAACTCACATATTTTCTTATCCTTATTTATAATCGAATTTCTTTCAACAAAAGAAAAAAACATCTTATTCTTCATTATCTGTAACTCACAATACTTTTACTCATTTTTGTTTTGAATCATCGTTCGATGTTTTGCATTTTTTTCTTCGTTTTAATTTCTTCTAGTGTGAAATTCTGGGATACTGAAGAGTGGCTTACCAAAAGTTTATATTGCATTTGAAATAAACTATGTACATAAAGTAGGAGAAAAAAGTTTAGCATATTTTTAATAT